AAACCGTTAAAAGTACTTTAAGTTAAATAGTTTTCCTTAGTAGGTGTCTAATACAACTTATTTTAACTACGGGCCGACGTTTCGCATGCTTTGCAGCAGCCGGCGAAATAAGTTTAACTAATATATATCGCATTTTAAGCCGTTAAAGTGTTTTATTTAACTACTACATATTTTTTTTGTAATTTATATCTTGAATGTGATCTAATTGACTATCTAATAATATGATGCCAAAAATAACTCTGCGGACGAAGTCGCGGGAACCGCTAGTTAATTATACATTCGTATAACCAGTAAATGAAATCGCAGAACAAAAGTGGCTATTGATTTGGAATTTTCAATTACTCCCGTACGCTAATCTCACAGCTTTACCTGCTCAATGACTCCGTTATCACTGCAAAAGGTGTATTCGATGGAGCCTCGGGCTGTACTGATTAGATCGCAATCCGTGTTCTACTGAAATCGTAAGAGGGACTGTGATTGGCTTGTTTCAAATACCCGCTCAGACAAATTGGATTCAGTTGGCCTGGAGATGGTAAAAGAGTTTAAACAGCCCAGTATACTTTTAGAATACGATATTTGAATGTGTATTATAATCATTCGTTTATATAAAATTTATTAAATGTAGAATCAGTAGTGTTAATAAATAATCTATTGACGAATATCTGGACTTAAACCCGAGGCTTGTTCAATGGAGATTTGAAAAGTCGCGTCTGTAAACCGGCGCTTCTCCTCTACTCTGGGTGGTGAAGCACATGCCGAGTGCTTTTCCTCATTTCACTTTCTCTATTTTTTTGTTAATTATATAAGTTGTTATTTAAGTTATTTATTCTGTCTTGTGAAATAAATGGTTTGAGTTTGAGTCTAGTAAAAAAATATACTTATAAATTAATAAAACCATACTTATATTAAGCGGAACAGTTGTTCGAACGCGCTAACCTCTGTAACTACTGGTTCCAATTGAACCACTGGCTTTAGGCTATAAAAACATCAGACTGCGACCAATAGGAGCGAAGTAAATACCGTCTGTAGTTGACACGAGTAATACACATTTAAATAATACACTATAACGTCTCCCCGTATCGGGTTTCTACAAAGCATCCGAAACGTCGCGTCGGGCCGTAATAAAAATAATTTCAAGTAATATATTTCACGTTTTAAACAGCTGAAATGTTTTATTTACAGCAGCTAATTAATTCGTGAGTTTCTAGTCGACGTCGCGAGCATTGTAACTAATATACCTAATGTCTCTTATACATATAGCATGTGAAAAGATATGATGACAAAGAATAAACAACGCTATCATTCCACACAGTATATATTAAGAAGAACCCTTTTATGGGACCTGTATAAATTTAACAAAGTTCGACTGATAATGAATAGAAAAACTATAAAACGACTCACGCATAAAAAAGTAAGTAATGATAATTACAGGTGAAATTATAGCACCCGGCACATAAACTCGAATAATTTTCAATAATTTCCCTTAACTACAAAAGTTACCGGGTAATGGAAAAGTTAAATAATGAACTCAAAGTCCTGCGATGCCCCACAATTTATTTAACGAAACATCAAGTTCTGTATAGACCAGGGGTAACCAATCACATTGATAGCAAAAATCCAAGCAATTTTTTAAACCTAATCATTTTGCCTAATAAATATTTTATATACATTTTAAAGACTAAAATCTATATGAAATTGTATGTAAAAAGGTGTGAAAAGCGTTGTCAAAAAACTGGCTGTAGCCAAGTTAGCAATACGGTAACGATAAAGTTCGCATAAAATATATGATTAGTGATACCTCTTTTTGGAAGTATGTCACTTCTTTATCTATATTAATATATCAAGCTGAAAAGTTTGTTTGTTGAACTACAGGTTCAAATTGAAAAATATTTATCGAGGAAGTCTATAAAACATCGCACTGTGACTAATACGAACAAAGATACAACGGGAAATGTACGGAAAAACAGGAAAAAATATTCAACCTTGGAGGTTTCCGTTGCGAACGCTGCAAAAACGGTTCAAGATACCCAAAAAATATGTATAACAGAATGATTTCTCTTTAAATGATCTAAAAAATGTGCGCGACAGGATAATATGTATGACTTTTAAGAATCGAGACGCGGACGATGTCAGGGAAACAAATACATTTTTAAAGTTGAACAGGTTGTTAAGAAATAAAATTTGACGCCCAAAATAACTATTCTAGGCGGACGAAGCCGCTGACACAGCTAGTAACTAAATAATTGGCTACAGACCCAGGTACACTGGCCGCATGTGGTTCGAGTACCACAGGTTGACCACCCCTGGAATATATAATATCTAATTTCGTCAGCAATTACCTAAATTGAAATGTAATTATAATGGATTGTCGTGTCGTAGTAATAATTTAATAATTATTGACATAACGATGATTGACTGCGTTGAAAGTTTAGACGGAAGCTTATCAATGTTATGTTTGCATTCGACGATGTGTATCTTGCTTAGTACACTACGTACACGTTGGTACATTTATATCTCATTATACAGGCGTATCAGTGTTTGAAGTTGTAACTAAATCGTCGTTTCGTTATTAACAATTCATATCGCCTGACCCAAGATACGAACACTGAACCTCGTGCTCTGGAATCAGGTGTATTATTAGTATTAGTAGGCAATTTGTATAATTATTATAACGGTTATTGTAAATGTTTTATTTTAACGCAAAAACTTTTTAATTCATATAATGCTACCATGTGCAATTTGAAAAATAATAAACTTTTCAAAACGTTGAACTCTGTAGTTTCATCTTCAATTATTTCCTTACGAATTTCGATTAATAAAGAAACATGGTAGCTAAATTTACGGAACACCACGGTAGACCACGGCTGATGCCAAGCATCCGAAACGTCGGGCAGTAGTTAAAATAATTTGTAAATGAGTTTAATATTTCGTGTTATAAACCGTTAAAGTATTATTTTTAAATGTGTACTCGCGTAAACCACAGAGAGTATTTAATGTTAGCCAAATGTGTATAGTGTCAATAGTAAATGAAAAACAAACTAACAAGCAGTGTTAGTCTTCATAGCAAGAGGTAAATATAGTCTAAAATACCTAACAATATTTAATGTATTGCAAATGCCAGTAATGCATTCTGAATGTAGCAAAGCGGTCCACAATGATACCGCAAAGATAATATTATAATGTAGGCAGCGTTTAGCGAGTATAATGTAATTTCAAATATGAAAATATAATATTTACGTCCCGTATTTAATAACACGAGACATTGGATATTACAGAATAAACATTTGAATATTTGTAATAAAAGCCCATATTGATATTAAAGTAATATCAATTACTTCTATCTATTGAGCAGTTCTTATTTATTTTAAGAGTCTGGTTTAGTGAGACCGCAAGGTTTGAATGCCAGCTTAAGTTGACTATTACTTTCATATTTGTAATTTTTTTGGATAACCTCTATTATTTTGTATTATCTGTTTCGGTTATGTCAAGTCATCTACAATGAAGTAATAAATAAATGATAGTCCACCACTGGATCAGCGTGGTGGGCTAAGCTCTATAAGTACTTTTTATGGGAGACGATATCTATGCCCAGCAATGGGAAATTAATTGGTGGAAGTAATGTGTAAAATCCCGTTTGGGTCTAGAATTTCTGTGTCCTATATTTTTTTATTCTAATAAATAATAATAATTTCTCATAATCAAAATCTATTTTAAGACAGAAAAGAATCATGCTCATGTCGTTGAACTTTTTAGTCGAAATAGATTTTTCACTTCTCATCGTTTAACGCCTTCCTTGCCTATAAATAGTATAGAATCAATTCTCCAAATGGATACATTAATATGTTCCTAATACTACCCTCGTACCGAATACGGGACTTCACTTTCAGTCAAAATAATCCGAATGAATTGAACGAAGGAGAATGCTAACTTTTCGCTTTGCAAAGTTTCTGACGTAAACTTCTGTCAGCTGTGTGGCCCCGGGAGGCATCATACATGCATCTTTAATAGCGCCATGGAAAGGTCAAGAGTCCAACGAGAAGGAGTGAATACGTAATAAGCTCTCAAGTACCCAGACGTCACCCCCCGACAGCCTCTTTTCAAACTTTGACGAACTAACGTGCCGTGGGCAAGTACTTTGTAGTTGTCTCTCAAACAAATTAATTACGTCTCAAAACTAAGCAGTAACAAGGGAGCGAGCGCTTCGAATAAACTTTTGAGAAAGGCATAAAATGAATGCTTCGCTCTCAACGGCTTTAAGTTTACGTGAATTAATGATAAATTAGGTCAACGATGTCTGCGAATAGCTAAAATTACTTTGCAGGTAACAAGAAACGAATGATATTCAAGAAATTCACAATAAAATGGACAAGAACTGGCTGTTTGTAACATCTCTTTAATTTTAGTTTGACATTAATTTTCTCTAAGGGACTTTTTAAAATCAGTTAACGAGAAATTGTAATTCTAATTATGAAGTTACCAGAGATGACTGATATCAACATAATGGCAAAGAAATTAAGGAAAGTTAAAAAAAAAAAGAAATTGACGGTAGACTTACACATTCCGCCAGTTAAATACATAGCAAATTCAACACGAAGCGGTCGCTCCTTATTTTATACAGTTCTAGTTATGCGTTCCTCATTCTTTTATGCGATACGACAAATTTGAACCTGTTTTATTTTTGAATAGTTTGTATTTAAAGATATATTTAAAGACTCGGGTGAAAGTTGTTAGTTGAAATTTGGTGTTATTTTTAATATCTTTATCATCTCTCGCTTACTATTATTAAAAGTAAAATGTCATTATACAAATATACAGTTTGGAAAACACATTTCTGTGCCCTTTCAATTGATCAGTTTCATTTCAAGTTATCATTCAAATAACTGTTCTGTGCTTTACCTGGCCGAAAATTTTGGGATTCGAACCATATGTTTCGAAATTACACATTGCAATCATTCCGAGCTACGCAAACACTGTGCAATAACAAAGTAAAAAACGCTCACCTTTCGGAGGATTAATGTGCAGGGCGCTCCTGAACAAACTCTCCTCGTCACGCCAGTCTAAATTCCGTCGAAGCGTAGCACCGCACATGGCACATAAAGTCACTAACAAAGTGAACATAAAAATACGACTTCGCAATTCATTACGCCGCCAAGTTCTTGTCAAAGCTCCCGCTCCCAGGCCGAGCAATAAGCAAAAACCAACACTAGGAATATACAACACACGCTCGGCGACTACGAAGCCAACATAGAAAAGAATATTACTGGCTGGCACGAACGGGAGCACCATAAATGTTGTGAATAACAGCACTGCAATTTGAGGACTACGATACTGGTATTTGTGCTGGCTCGGCGTCTTCGTTTTACCGTGCACTATTGGGCATACACACGACGAATTGTGCATAACGTTATTATTGTTGACGGTTCGGCACGCGTTCGTGTGGTCTTCCGTGAGAGAATGCTTGCAGCCGTTGCACGGACACACTCGCTTCGAAGACGAATACTCCTTCTGCGGCATCATATTCTTCCTCTCGCAATACTGCCGCCTGCTTACGTGCTTGCAATTATTGTTCCACTTCTGTTTCTTGCTTTGCTTTTTATAGTACTTCTCCTTCTTCTCCTGCTGTCTCTTTATCTCGTTCGTTAGAACTCTCCACGTCACTTTTGAGACGACCGCATAGAATATTAAGGAGGATAAATTTCTGGCGTCAAATATTGATGTGATCTTCGGTATCGCGTCCATGGACCAGTCGAAGCTTAATTGAAACGGGTATAAAAGGAGAAAGAAATTAAAAACTGGAAGGTAGGTGAAGGTATAAAATCTGGTAAAAATGGAGAGGTCGCGCGCAGTGGGATTGTCCGCCGCGGCGAAGCCCAAGGGTGTTCCGGCGATTCGCAACCGCCAGTAAAGTAGTGTGAGCCCACCTGTGCCCAGTGCACAGATGCTCCGCCACCGGTACTGCAACAAAAAGAAACTTATATCAGTATTGGAAAGTGGAAAATATTGCGATGTGCTCCTAAATTATCTCTGGTTGATATAAATTTTCAAATTTTAGCATTTTAGTAATATTAAACCCACCTACACACATGACAATGGCATATTAATTATATAAACTATAATCTGTATAATCATGTTCATAAATATTATAATTATGCTAAAGTTAAATTTGAAAAAAGTACCTTGCAACTCAGCTAAACTAAGTAGTAAATTTAAAAAACTGTATTTTAAAAAAACACTTCAACGGTTTAAAACGCGATATATATTAGTTACACTTAACGAAACGTCGAGCCGTAGTTAAAATAATTTCGAAAGAAGTTTAACTAATATATATCGCGTTTTAAACCGTTGAAGTGTTTTATTTAAACGTGTAGTACTCGTGTAAACTACACAGAAAGGTTTACCAGAACGCGTTTTAGGATGCTTATTATGCAATAATTACTTTGCTATTGTTAATTTAAACACCAACCTAGGAAATAACTATAGGAATAAAAGTGTTCCTTACGTTGTACCATGCTTTTCATATGATTAAATAATTCGCGAACAAATCCAAGGCGTAGTAGATATATGAAGCAAATTATTAAATAATTTATATTCCAGAGAGACAAACGATGTATCGATTCCATAAATGTTCTCTTTTGTCTGGCAGTGTGTTACAGTAAAGGAGGCTATAAGGAACATCCAAGATTTGAATGGATGAATAATAGCTTCGCCGAAATCCCCCAACCTCAATAACCTGCTCACTTTGTTTCGATTTACAAGGGAAAGGATATTTAAAATTCTAATATGGACCTTATGTAAAAATAAGTACGTTATTATTGGTAATTGTAATATTACTTCAAGAACTGCGTACATAAAAGTAGAATATTGTAAATGTTGTGATCTAATATTGACGAGCTCATTCGTCTCAAAGTAACAATAGATATGGGTCCCGGATTCGATTCCCATCAGTCGCAACGCTAAAGCATTTTATATCTTTAAGTCAATTTTTACCCAATCTCAAATATCTATAGATAGTAGAAATATCTAAATTATCTATTATCTGTAATATTCTGTATCCGTTTCATTGATCCGTTCTTTTAACGAGCAATAGTAGACTTCTGTGCCCTGCCCAAACGATATATTTTTTTTTCCATGAAATTCGAACCCAGGACCTCTCACGCTCAACGCAATACTAGGCAATACGTTTAACCATTTGGCTACCATAACCATAGAGACGGTCAATTTAATTTATATCATAGTAATATTGCGTGTTTAGTTTCGGTATTAAATTGTACGTACACTATCTGTCTATAAACGAAGGAAAATAAACAATGTCGCAGAACATTAAACAATTCAAAGTAATACCGTAAAATACAACTTTATTCTAACAATCGAGATAAAATTGATTTAGGTGAATGGGAGCTAATCGTAGAGAAACGTTATTTTAAATACCGTGTGAAATTGGCTCACTATTAATTTCAAATTCCCCGCATTCTAATCTATTTGGGGAGGCATTATGAAAGTTTTCCCTGTTATTTACTGCGTGGGCTTGGTATCGACACGAGTTGAAAGTACCGAGTGTCGGCTTGTTAGTTGCGGGCGCCCGAAGAAAAGATTTATGAAGGTACATTCCGCATTTTCGACCTGGGCCCAAGGGTCGCTCCGTAGTTTGTTAGATTTTGTAATTTCTACTTATTTTATGTGCTTAAACTTCGACTATTATGTGCCAATATTTTGTATTTAAAAAGTCATGAATACTTTTTTAATAAAAAACACATTTAACAGTTTAAAACGCGAAATAAATAATCGATTTTATTACGTTCCATTTAAATTTTATTACAGACAGTAAGAGTCTTTTTTTTAAACCAATGCTGTTTGAATACTTTATGCTAAAAAAAATTAACATGACAAAGCATCAAAAACGTCGGGTCATATAAAATAAGTTACTAATGTTATAAATAGTGCAACAATAACGAAATATAATATTAGCTTCTAAAGTTTAAAAATAAATATTATGTTGAAATCTATTTTAAAATAGCACACATAAACCGTGTAGACTGGGTGCCTGAACATAAGATGCATTTCCTTAAATATTAGATGACGTGCCGGTCTCGCAAGGGAAATAAACATAAAATCCTATAAGTGAGATGTTTTATAGAACTGCATATATATGTTGGAAGAATAGTTCATGTACGTTACGTAACTAACTCTTATTTAGACGAGGTTTTGTTCGCGACTTCTTCCTAAAATATTTTGATGACAATTTAATTTTTGACGATTTTGGTTACGACTTTCTTTTATATATAATAGACTTAAATATAACACTTTAACTTATTTACTATTCATTTTAACTATGGCCTGAAATTAATTTAACTAATACATTTCACTTTCAAACCGTTATACGTGTTTCGTTTAAATGTGTACGTGAAACTATAGACAATACTTGAGGTATATAGGTTTCATATTATATTATACATTTGATCAAATAGAAATATCTCTACCCCATACCCCACGAAAGCCCGAGTTCACTTAAATATCTACAAAACCTATTTGTGGTCTACCATTAAGTTATTCTTCATTTATAATTGATTATTGCCTAGCGTTACGTTTAGCGCGAGAGATCCTAGGTCCGAATCCCAGGTAAACAAATAATTGTTACAATCGGGCAGGACACTGAGGTCTGATCAACTACTTGCCTGTTTGTTTTAAAAATGTGTTCGCCCCATGCCCCACGAAGGGACAACGTCACCTACTTACATTTACATAATATTCACATATAGTGTGTGGGTAACTGTTGAAAATTTTTCATATAAAATCTCGTTCTACGAAATTAGAAATAAACGTTACCGCCGAGATACCTTGCGCATAAAGTTATAAACTCGGGCGTCGAGGGGTCCATTAATTTTAATACACTCGTAACTATGTTATGACAAAAATGTCACCAACAGGAAAAACCTTTTTCATTTCGCTTAGTTAGTAAAAATCGTAATGAGATTCTTCATCATTAAACGGAATTAATATCTCCTTTCACATTAATTTACCTTTATTAATATGATTTTGGGGAAGTGTTTGTGGTATTGGAATATAAATAATATTTTCTTGTTACCATGAAAATGATAATAACATCAGAGAATATATATATATATATAATAATTTAATCTGTCATATAGTCGTTAATACAAACGAACGATAAAGTTTTAAACAAAAGACGATCGTAATTTTTTTTTTGATATGAACCGTCGCTAAATCATTACCTTACTCAATACATTTTCTTTTCCTGAAATTTTGTTTATTTCTTTTATTATTTATTTTGTAAGCTCAGGTATATATAAAATATTCCAAATATTGTACAAAATATATATCCAATATTAAAATACCTTTTACTAGTTTTGTTAACTTATTGCAATTTGACCAGTTCACAAGTATATTTATTTATAACAATTATCAACTTCATTCGTCGTTTCAGATTTAGGCACCGTAGTGCAGAGCATGGAAAATCATCGTACAACTATTGCCTTAAAGTAAAACACTTTTAACGGTTTAAAACGCGAAGTACATTAGTGAACTTATTTACAATTTATTATAATTAGGGTCCTATGTTTCAGTAGCCTTGTTCAAAGAGGGACTGAAGAGGGAGGGTGTCCCTAAAGAGATAGTCAATTCTGCTACGCCAGCGCCATCTGTTTCGTCGTAGTTGTTATTTGGAAACTAGGTGGGTCCTTACAGTACTGATTCACGGTATCCTCTTGTTTTTTGGTATGCCGGTTTTTCGTATTTATTGTTTTTCATTTAATGTGTTTGCCTTTTGCGGTTTATAATTATTAAAATAATTTTGCTCAACCATAGCTCCCCTGTATGTTAAAAGCTATTTTAATTTAAATCTCCGAAAGTGAAGAGTCGAGTATTCACGGATCGCGAGGATTACCTTTGTTTGCTCTTTGAGTACAAAGCGAACATTCTATTGACACTGTATATAACAGTAAACACTCCGGTTACCTTATTTACGGTATTTAGGTTTAGAAGTGGATACACGATACATGGTGAGTGTGAAGGGGCATTTTGACCCACTAGATACGTGAAACTGTTTTAATTCCACCTACTAAGGAAAATGATTTAACCAAAACGGTTTAACAGCTTAGAGCATTTTTCGTAGTCAAAATATATTGTAATAAGTTAATTTCAATACATTTCGCGTTTAAAACCGTTAAAAGAGTTTTATATAAATGTGTACTACTCGCGTACACTATAGACTACTTGACTATTTAACTGTTAGGGCATTCTTATAAATCCTGAAACATACCTGAGAAAGCCTTAGAAATTAATAAAAAAATTTCTTGCTAAACTGATTATAGACTAGAAGGGTTAAGACAGGATTCAAACCCACGACGCTAACTGCACCATAGCTAAAGTTCTTATTACCTAGTTGGGCTTACAGAATCACCATGAAAAACTTTTTAAAAGACACAGTTATGTATAGTCCAAGTTATATCCATTAAAAAGAAATAATTAACTATGTATAAAACTAACATCTCAGCTTACAAAGCAAAGGGTACAATTGAAAAAATATATGTTTTATACAGTTTATTAAATATATTTTTTAATCTTAGATATATATTTATGTAAAATAATATTTAATTGATTTCCTTGCTAGCTTATAGCCAGCTCTAGCAAGACGGTAAATCAATACACAACAATACACCATCATTAACAAAGCAACATTGATTGATGCGATGATCTATAATATTATTAACTGTAGGTCTTAACGGATTAAGATATTGAATAATTGACTTTCCGCTCTTCGAAGCTCCCTAGACTGGTTTCAGATAGAAAGGAATTAACACGTAAATACTATTGATTTGAGTTATGTATGTAAAGCAACGTTATTCGTAGGTACGTTAGACAGACACATTTTTGCTTCCTATACACTGATCGATTTTCTTTACAGCCAAGTTGATCAGATTTTTACAACAATATTGTTACTCCAGGATTTTAATTTTAACAAACTTGGTTATTGGTGTATATGAAATAATACTTTTAAAAAATTATGTTTCTAAAATCCTTTATAACATCCTAATTAAAAAGTTTTGTCGATTTCATTGTGCATTGGGA